TCTCTCTCTCTCTCTCTCTCTCTCTTTCTCTCGGTCCCTCTCTGGTCAACTTAAAATAAATATATGAATAAATAAAATTTAAAAAAAAAGAGAGAAGAAATTGCAACATCACTATGGCCTATTGGGGGTTGCTTTCTCCCTCTCTCTCTCTTTCTGTCTTTTTTTCTCTCTCTGTTGAGTACACTTACCCTCTACAATAAAAAAAGGGAGGGTGAAAATAACCTAAATTGGGTTAACAATAGTTAAAGCAGCCAACCCCACAGTTCAATCCTGGACCCAGCAGCAAAAAAAAAAAAAAAAAAGAAAAAGAAAAAGAAAAAGATAAAAGAAAAAGAAAGTCTTGATGCAGAGTTGAAAACCTGGAGTCTTTTCTGCTTTGTCAATGACAAGAAGAATTTCCATGTTTAGACAGAAGAACCAAAATGCAAAGTATTGACCCAAATATACCCAAAGCAGTCATTGGGATATTCATTGCACTATCTTGTCTTACCCTATCAGTTTTGTTATCTTCAAAACATTCCCATTCACCCAGAGTGAGTAATTCCCTATGTAATGAACAGTACTAATGCCCTTGAGGTATTAGTAGTGACTTCTCATTATCTGGGAATGTGCCAGTGTTTTTAGCAAACCTTGGAATCTGAGAAAGTATTACAGAACTGGCTCCCCTTTTCAGAGAATGCTAACACCATGTAGGACCTGTACTTAGAGCAATCAGGTAGAGTTAAAAGTAGGAATGAAACTAATTGACTAAAGGATATAGAAACTCAGTATATAGATGTAAATACCAGATATAGTGTGTGTGAAAGAGAAGGGTCTGAGGAAGGACATTTGGAGGAGGGGCAGGGAGGCAAAGCACTAATGGCATAAAGAGATGTGGTATTATCTGTTGAAGATATTTTGTAGTTTTATCAACTGTACTAGGGAGTAATGTTCACCTGTTAAAATATCCACTTTGTAAGACAAATAATATTGTGATTGAAAATACAGAAGAAAATTAAATGAAAAAAATAAATAAAAGGAAAAATAAATAAAAATAAGTAGGAATGCATCTTGTACTCCTAACTAGATTAATAATAAGTCTGACCTATGAGATAATGATCGAGTCTTCCATCCTATAATAGGCTGTTGTGATGTGTCAGGCCCACTGCTGTGTTTGGGTAGAAGCTTCTCATCACTTGGAGACCAGCAGGTGCAGGGCGATAACAGGGCTTTCCTCTTCCATTCGCTTCCTCCATCTGTCCACTCTTGCGTATGCTCTCTAGTAATTCAGAAGACCTGTCTTGAGCAGCTCAAATGAACATTCATAAATCCTTCTAGAAAACCATTAATAATACCTGGATTAAATTGATTCTAATCAACTGAAAACATCTTCAGAAACTCAGGTGTAGTATTTCCCTTCCTGAATGTCTTTAAAGGCCTCAACTGACCTAGATGTTCCTTAGACAATACTTTATACAATAAAGTGCTTCTAGAGGATGAAGCCAGACTGCAGGTACTGCTGAGAACACTGGGTTTTTTGTTGAGCAGCAGCTCAGTGTTTAGCATTCAAATGAACTTCATAGGCTCAAAAAGACATGGACAAGGCATTCAGGGGAAAGAGAAGCTTCACAGGTGGGGACTTTTGGTGAGTGTATCCAGTGTTCTAGAAACAAAAAAATGTGTTGGACAGACAGAGCAGCAAATACCAGTGGGTGACAGAAAAGGACCATGGCAGAAAGAAAGAACATCTTCCAGATAATTTTTTTCTCTGCTGAATAGAAGAAACTAAACTTCGGAGGATAAGAAGTTAGATAAGAATGGTGACTGAGGTGTGACACAGGGTAGGAATAATTTTAACTAATGTGATCAGACACCTGGGGTGACTTTGGTTTTCTGATTAGGGAGACAATGCCATTTACAGTTTTTAGAGTGTGATATTTTGTGGAGTGAGTTTTTCATTTGAGGCTAGATTTAATTTTTCCATTTCTGAAGAGTATTTTGTTCATGATCTATACCTCACTCAAATTTTCAAGCTTTGTAACAAATTTAACTGATTTACTATGAAGAATATATATATATACTAAGGAAATGACAAAACTTGCAATAAAAAATGATTTTGCAATGTTATAACAACTTCTGGCTTCTGTACTAGGGAGCCCCTAGTAAAATTAAATAAATAATTATTTTATTTAAAAAAGGAAGAAAAAAGAACATGCTGGTGTATGTGTGCACATGCCCGAAATCCAGAAAGGATGGAGAAATGGGGAAGGAATTGCAGACTTGGTCTTGACACTTTATTTTATTTTATCATTTTGTAAACTTTTGTTTATTTACCCCTTTGACAGAGAGAGAGAGAGACAGCATTCCCAACAGGGTCTCCACATCCCAATTTACCCACAACTGACCCAGATCATGGACACATGCAAGTGTGCCCCTGTGTGCTCAGTAAGGTCCCAGGATGCAAACCTAGAACTCTTCCCATCCAAGTTCAATGCGCCATCACCCAGTCCCATGGTCCTGATATTTCAGTGAACCGTGAAATAAAACTGTGGCCCGCCATTCAATCACTAGGCTTCCAGACCTTAGGTCTTAAGGGGAGACAGTATTTCTCCATTCAACAAATATGTGTTTGGAACCTACTATTGTCAAATGAGTTGGGAGCACAAGAGCTGACAGACAAAGGTAGTCAATTGTGAGGTTCTATATAAATAAATGCTACTGGTTTGGGAATTGAATGATACTGGATTAATCTCTCCTTTCTATGAGGTCTTTTATTTAATTTCTACACATATGGTATTTTCTTTCTGTGCCTATCTTATTTATCTTACCATAATAGTAAGCATTAAATTCAAATGGCATAAGTATATCCTTCATTGGCTAATATATAGGACATATTGAATATATAGAATATATATTTATGTACCAAATTGCAATGAGCCTGCAAAGTGGTTAATTACCAACCATAATTGTACAATTACATAATTGATTATATAATAATTCAGTGTGTTAAAAAAAGAAACCCCACTGCTACACTTGAAATTGAATTTTATTTTAAAAGAGTAAAACATTATACATTCTTTAAAAAATGAAAATCCAAAAACACAAAGTGAATCAATAATATCAACCTGTTTAGAAAAAGATTAAAATAGCAACAATGCTTTACCAGCAAAAAAAATGTCACAGAATTCAAATCGTCACTTGGATCTTTACTAATTCAAGTGCTGCATCCCACACAGTTGGGGCTGGTTGGTTAGAAGATAGAGCTCCTCCTCTGGACATGCTGACCCCGGTGAGCTCCTTCCTTGCCACCATCCATCCACTCACACCGTGGGATACATGGCATATGAGGCAATTCCGCAGTTATTGTTTCGGTCTTTTGCCATCATTATGTAGCCATCCATGCCCCAATTTTTACCCCAGCTGAAAGAAAAGATTTTCCATTTTATAGAAGGAATAGAGTACATAATAAAACATAATTAACCATAACCCTAATTAAATAGTGTGCCAGAAGCCACTGACTTAACAGTAAGAATCAGGGAAAACAATTGTTTCTCCTTCATGAACTGCTGAGTCTCAATCTGCACATACCATCTATCCCTGACTCCAAAGCAGTGACCATTCATAGAACTGTGTCACCACAGACAGCAAAAGGATAGGTTGTCTTTCCAGCCAGATATGTTTCAGAATTAAGATTAAATTATCAAAGATATCAACACAGTAGTACAAATACCATCTTAGTGCCTGCAGTAAGCTTGTGATGGTACGTTGATGTTATAATCAAACGCTAGTATTTCTGTGTTCAACTGAAATAGGGTAAAGACTTTTGGGATTTCAGAATATGTTTAAGGGTTTGAGGACCAGCAGTTA